TTGATGGTAGGCAGCTCTGCTGTCGTCCGGTTCAATACCACGCCTAACCTATGGGGGCCTTATGTGGTTCACCACTCCAAGTTCCGGGACTTAGGTTGCCGATTTCAACTACTGAATAGCAGGTCCTCGTGACTATGGGGTTTACCCCGTCTACTGTTCATCACACCTAGGTGTGTAATAAAAAAAGCAGGTTTACTTGACTTGGGGTTCACCCAGTATGATCGTCACGCAAAAATGGACGTACTACAAAAGGCATCGTAAATACTTTCGTTTTTTTTTGTAAAAGAAACAAAGATGCCTCAGTTTTCTAAACAAACCTGAATCAAATGTTGTCAAGTTTATTTATTCTTTATTAATGTCGCTTCATTTTTAAATGAGATATAAATAATGTATAGCTTCTGATTGCAGAACAACTCAATCCGCAAGGAGCACGACAAGAGATACGAGTGAGGCTGCATTTTGCGCCCACGGTGTATATCGAGTGCTTCACTTCTATTGAAAAGATTCGGCAAGTTAAAAAGCTGCATGTTCTGGCTGCTCTCTCTAATCCTGTTGATGTCAACATAACGATTAAGTGCATTCGGTTTAAGTTATTCATTCAATTAATTCAACGTGTCTATTGAAAGAAGCACAGGTAATCCACGAAGCAGAGTCAAATTACCTCGTTTGCCATACTTCACTCTCATTTTTGCCTCTATGTTAATTATGATGTGTATTTTTGTCACGTCATGCGTAAGTGAACGTCCGGAGTAAACTGAGTGACTACTTCTTGCAACATTTTCTTCACTATCGGTACTATTCTTGTCTCATCATTGTCCTATCGTTTGTGATGCGTACTTTGTCGTGACATTGTTGCACAGTTCCTCATCCGAGGTGGATAGCTATCCAGTAGCAATTCATCTCCTCTACACTTTACGGTATCATCCCCGCTTAGAATGCCAGTGATAGCCCTTGATCTTATGCACAGAAACTGGAACGTGCAGTCGCCCGGCTGGCGGTATCTCAGAGGTGTGACTCACCACAAGATGGTCGCCTTGGGAGTATGGTGGTTTAATACTGTCGTGTGTAACTCACAGGAAGGGAACGATCATACTTGCAGCTACAGTTCCAATTAGTTTTGACAATTTCACAGTGCCTCAAACGGTAACGTATCAACTATCCCCCCACCTGTCCCGTTTCTTTTTTACCGTGCACATGGATTACCATTCTCTGCATGTATTTGGTCACTATACGACTGGATGTTCTGTCGTGTGATTTCTGTCTTCGATCGTGGTCGTGTCACCCACTGCACACCATGAGTGTTCTCCGATTGCAAGTTTGTAGACATGTGCAAATCACTCAGTTTGTGTACTCGCAATCCAGCGGTATAGGCCGGATTTTGATGTGCTATCACGAATCAGTAGGTTGAATAATCGATCGATCCTGTGGGAGCTTGTTAATTGGTAGACGTGCACAAGTGAATGTTTGTGTTTGCTGGTTTTTCATTAATCGATCGTGTATTGCCGTGATTGGATTGACTATTGCTTGCAATTCGTTTGCTTGTGTTGTTGATGTTGTGATATGGATTAACGAACCCGATTTCGGTTCTCTCTATTTCCAGATCTACATTTGAACCCGCGTGTTTGACAGAAGCGGAATTACGCAATCGAATCACACTATACGAATTGCGATTGGAAATTCTGGAGCTTAAACGCGCCTATTGGTTGCAGAAACTGCATTCCTTATGAACTGGTATCTGTTTGAGTCTTTCCTTTTGTTTTTTACTTTGTATAGTTTTTCTCTCAGTTGATTGATCGTGCACGTTTGCGAGCAACTTTGGTACAGATCAGCTAGTGGTTATTTCATTCTAGTTTTACGAAAATGTCGATACAGTGTACAACTTTCCCTATGTGAGTGCGTATGTTATATCTGCGCTTTTCCACTTGAATGACTAATTTAGTTGAGCGTTTCGTGATTTGTGCGCCAGTCTCACTCTGTCCGCATTATTTCTCGTTCACTTTCCGTCGCTCGTCATTTTTCAAGCCAACTTGTGCAGTAGATGGATTATTGTATTGGACATACGTCCTCGTTTTATAGAGTACGAGGGTTCCAATGACAGTGTAGGTTTTTTAGAGAAGGCGATCATATAGATTCCCTACTGCTAAAAACAAGTTGTTGATAAAAGAAATGAACTGGTTACAAATTGTCAAGTTTTGTTATTCTTCAACAAGGTTAAAAAATGCCTGTTTTTCTTCCTTTGTTAGCGATTTGCGCCGTGTTTCCCATAGAGTTAATTTTCACTCCACATATCATGAATAGCTATTAACCCGACCGACCTCGATGAATTGAGTTGGTTGATTATCGTTCAATCTTCATTGATTCAACGATGTAAAGCTTTTTCTGTAAAGTGGTTTCTCTTTAAAAAGACAACAGTATTTTGTGTGTGATGCACTGACCCCCGGCGTTTTATTGGGTCGGTGTGTGACATGCCTCCTATTGGGAATTTTAGGTCTGCTGTTGCATAAACCGATTTTCGATCGCGAGCGTCAACTTAGCCATCAACCATTACGTGCATTCGTTGCTGACTTAACTCTGGGTACAAAACAAATATCAAGTTGCAAATCAATAGTCGATAGGGGATGCTTTGTTGTCCAAGTTACACAAACAGGGTTTAGCGTAACACCATGCTACTCATGTGACGCGACGTGTGTGGGTGCAGGGGTTGGGTTGTAGGCTGGGTGAGACTCCTTGGGAGGCAGCGATTTCACAAACTTGTTGGGTGCACAAGCGTACTGTGTCAATGAGTTGTGACCGCCTCGGCGCTCCCTTAGTATAAGATTGGGAAGATTGGGGCACAACGAACTAAATGCCTCATTCACACTCACTGTTGAAATTCTTCGTGTTGAGGGGCCCAAACGTTCATGGTTGACCGGTGNTTAGTATAAGATTGGGAACCCCAAACGGGGCACAACGAACTAAATGCCTCATTCACACTCACTGTTGAAATTCTTCGTGTTGAGGGGCCCAAACGTTCATGGTTGACCGGTGTGCACTTGACAGCGCAATCCTTAAACTGCTTCACTCCAATTCGTCTCTTGGTCGCTTAAATCATTCCTTCTAGCCTTCTTGCGTGCGCTAAAGGAATGTGGACCCTTAAATACCATCGATCCGCTGACTGTTCACACACACCTCGCAATGATTGGTCGTTAAATATTCCAACCTTGCGGGGAATTCGTACATCCAACCTATCCCATTGGTAGTACATGATGAACCAATCTCTATCAAACGACATCTAATATCGTGGTGTGCTGAACACAATGTGGATTGAATGGTGTCCTCACTCGAGTCACATCAAGCTCCTGGGCAACGGTGACGATGATGAGCGATAGAAAAACCGCATATTTGTGTCCAGTGCCGATTTACCCTGAATGCCCGGATGAGAAAATACGCAGCCAACATGCTAGAACGGGAACACTTCATGAAAGCACTATACGACAGCATGTTTTTTCGAAAATCGAGTAGGCGGACGGTTATACTCAGATCATAAAGGCTCATTACCATCAGCACGCATTGGGGATAACACCATTACATCTTCCTGACCTTCGGTCTGCATATTTCATCAGGTAAATTTCGAACAGCCATCCATGAGCTGATCGATGGATTTGACGAGGTGTGGGTATTAGCTAGACGTTGTAATTGTTTTGGACTTGACCGAGGACAAACAAGATAATCGCCTTTTCGGATTGTTCGAGCGTTTTGCGTAGAAGAACGTGTCGAACCAGCCATCCAGGTTCATGTTCGGTTTGCCAGAATTGGAATTTCGGTGTTCTCACGGTTGATTTGAAAGCCTATCGTCTACATCCCAATCTATTTGGCCCCTTGTTTAAACTCGTGCTGTCGAATGATGAACACCAATTGAGGTCTATCACAAGACGCCTCTAATACTTCTCACGTTTCATACCGGAGTTTACTAGCAAAGCTCATTCTCTGTTCGCAAACAAATCGGCAACAGATCCTGGATGCGTTTGGGTTGACCGGTGTTTGCATCGTCTTCTCCATCGAAAAATCCAACATCAGTAAGGGGCGCGTCATGTGTCGTACTTGGACAAGATGGCTATCAAATCATCTGCATCTGTATGCCGAATGCGGTGGAACGAGAATAATCCCATAAGCAGAAGCAAGCATCGATCGTGTTTTGAGCTGACTACCCAACAGGCAATGCAATACCTTTTCATTCTAAATATCAGCCATGATTTAGAGGTGGACTATTGCGTTGGATGCCTACGGTTGTGACATCGTGCATCGCCCAGGCAAGACTATTCCGCAAGCCTATTCTCTCTCCAGAGGGTCCAAATACTCGGTGGTCAGGCGATGCCATTTATTTGCGCCGACAACTCCCGCATCATGGGTGGAGTTGCGGAAGTTCACCAAACGGTGGTACTCGGAGATGAAAACTGCACTGTCAAAAGGTTGACGCCTTGATGCAAACGAGTCTTTCTCGTTCTACGCTCACAGAGAAGAGATCTATCCATGGTTCGAAGAAATATTTTTCTGCAATGACCGTATAAGAATTCGACATCTATTACGAAGAGCAGTGTTAGAAGACTTGCGCCATTTCCGCGTGGTACAGGGGTAGATGAAGTCGCTGCTGCACCAGGTGTGTGGATCCCCCGACTTGGACGAAGATATCAGGTGAACGGGAAGGATTTACACAGCGTGCCTCCGCAAATGAGAACCAATACCGTCGAAATGTGTGCATTCTTATTTCCGTGTTCCTGATGAACACGCTAACCGCAGCATTTGTGATCCGAGTCCCACAAAAGCGTTTTTGCCCACAGTTGTTTGTGACGGACACGAAATAACAATTCTGTGCAGCGGGGATGACGGTGTGGTTATGCAGCATGGGTTGACGCCATTCACGTACAGTGCTAAGTCATTCTTGTTCAAACAGTGCGGCTGAGAATTTGGTGTGAAAAGCGCCATCCTACTTACCAACCTGAAAAAAAGCGTTGGAGATAGAGGTACCGTTTGGCGGTTTCTTGGCGCAGTACAAGAACGCGGCGCGCGCCACCTCCTAAGAGAGTCCTATCAAAACCTCGGTACTCTATGATCCTCACTGCAATTCATTGACTCACGTGATGTGGTTGACTTTCAGAGATATGACCTGCGGTCAGTTTGAGGAATCATCACAGGGAAAATTGGTCAGGTCACGGTAGAGACAACCGACGTCACGGGCGGGGTACTCCTTTTGGAGAAAAACCAATGAGAAGCTGATGTATTGAACCAATCAGGGTCCACTAGGTTCCAACCGAACTCGTGTGACAACAAGGACAAACAGCAACCGGTGAATACAGGCTCCTTGTAAATACTGTTTGATTACCTTTTTCTCTCAATAAACAAAACACTACTTCTGTGGCGTTCTTCCTGTATTGGCAAGCGGCCTAATTTCGGTAGCTGATTGATATTCCTGGTTTGCAGTTATTTCGAGTACGACTGATAGGTCATCCATTGACGTGTTCTTAGTCGTTAATTCCCAAATTTATTCAGCGCTTCTAATGGGGAAGGGCTGGTGGTAATGAATTTATAAATTAATCGAGGAAACTAACTTTATTGTGTATCGTACCAAAGACGTTTGATGTGCATCAGGGTGATAGGGATTTCCACCGGTAGTAACCCGCAGTGCAGGATGAGGCCAAACTGAGATTAATCTACGCTGGAGCTAGTTGGCCTTTTCCTATAACGTATGTATATCGCAATCTTTATGTACTATGTGCTGCATTAGTGCTTCGATCCATATATATTTCATCTTGATGAATCTGGTTACCATTTACATAGAAAATCTAAATTCTAAATTTTAGATAACTGGGTATGGTTGGGTCCCGGGTTGTTTCAATCCTATAGACAAGAAATAACAATACGCATTGAGTTGATGTTGGAACATCTCGCATTGTGGCATTTTCGCAGTCTTTTCCAAAGCTTGTAATTGAATGCTCTTGGCTAATGGGCGGAAGATGTAAACAGCCATTCCCTTTGAACTTCATGCCATTGTTCGTCTGGACTCGATATCGTGAATTATTGAAAGCCAAACTGGAAAACAATGAACTACGGGCATCATTCAGCAACCCCACTCTAAGGCCGTTATGTGGACGATATTTTTAACCTTTCGGATCAAAACATTTCACTGAACATAATATTAGATCATTGCAGCCGAGCTCATCCTTCAATCAGTTTTACGACTGAAGCGAAGGATCAGGATGCGTTTCACCTCCTCGATGTTAACCTCAAGAAGGGGCCCAATGGAAAGATATGTCGTTCGACTTTTCGCAAAAATAACGTAGAATGGTCAATGCATTCATTTCCAAATTTTCGTCCCAATCAAAGTTAAACGGAAATTTGCCCAATATCTGGTTTTTAGAACTGGAAAGCTTTCCTCCAATAATAGGGGGAAGACCTAAGAAACATCAAATCTGCATTCGATGATTTCATCCTCTGGCTAATACAGTTATATACATTTAGTGAATAAACGTGCAACAAATCATAATAACTGGAGATAACTGAGGATGCGATCAAAATTATCTACAAGGTACCCCCAAACCCTCCAAAACCCTCGGACAGCGCCATCTTGAGACAGCAGAGGCGGTAGCAATAAGGTTATTGCGATCAACTCTATGCTCACAAAAACAATTCGTCAAGGCCCTACAGTTACCCTGGCTCAGTTCCGACACTGGACGTCAATTAACCCATGTCG